CACCAGAGAAATGAAATTTATAAAAGAGAATCAAATGGAAATTCTAGAATGGAAAAATACAGTAACTAAAATTTAGAAGTCAAAGATAAATGGCATAAGGGACATAGCTGAAAGTAAGATTAGTGAACTATAAGACAGCGATGCTAAAACGTGTGTTATCTGTGGAAGCCATGAGCCAGATCTGCTAACAGTCAAATTATTTTAATCTTAGGTACTAGCACATCCCAACAATCTGTACTATTCTCAGGTGTGACAGTTCAGGAGTGAATATGGTTTGAACTTACTCATGTTCAGAGGGTGTCTGAAATGGAGAACTAGGTAGACCTATCTACTCAGAGCCTAAACATGGCCCTAAAGTAAATTGCTTGATGAAACAAGAAACTGGATCCCAAATATTACAGCCAGAGAATTTTTAAAACATGTCCATATTCAAGTGGAGATCAAAGAAGCTCAATTAAAAGAGCTATGGACTGAGCAAAGCTTCTTTTTAAAAAAAGGGCTGCCTTGAAAATTATGACTTAAACTTTGGAAGAACCAAGGTGATTGGCAGTAGGAGGAATCACAACATGTGCAACTCCTTAAATAAAAATACATTAACTTTTGGGGCGCCTGGGTGGCTCAGGCAATGAAGTGTCTGACTTCTATTCAGGTCATGACTTCACGGTTTGTGAGTTCCAGTCTCATGAGTTCGAGTCCTGCATCGGGCTCTGTGCTGTCAGCTCTCTTTCTCAAAAATAAATAAACATTTTAAAAAGATATTAAAAAAACATATTAACTCTTTTTTTTAAAAATTTAATGTTTATTTATTTTTGAGAGAGAGACAGAGCTCAAGCAAGGGAGGGGCAGAGAGAGAGACACAGAATCTGAAGCAGGCTCTGAGCTGTCAAAACAGGGCCCGACGCAGGCTCGAATGCATGAGACTAGAACTCACAAACCGTGAGGTCATGACCTGACCTGAAGTTGGATGCTTAACCAACTGAGCTCCCCAGATGCCCCTGTATTAACTTCTAAATAAATAAATAAAATATATCTGTGGAACACAGTATCCTTGAGACATTAAAAAGATAGTAAGGGAGGGGGGCACCTGGGTGACTTAGACAGTTAACTGTCTGACTCTTGGTTTTGGCTCAGGGTATGATGTCACATGAGTTCCAGCCCCTGGGTGGCTCAGATGGTTAAGTGTCCAACTCTTGGTTTTGGCTCAGGGCACAGTGTCACAGTTTCGTGAATTCAAGCCACCTGGTTGGCTCAGACGGTTAAGTGTCCGACTCTTGGTTTCAGCTAAGGGCATAGTATCACAGTTTCATGAGTTCAAGCCACCTGGGTGGCTCACATGGTTAAGTGTCTGACTCTTGGTTTCAGCTCAGGGTACGATATCACGGTTTCGTGAGTTGAAGCCCCTGGGTAGCTTAGGCAGTTAAATGTCTAACTCTTGGTTTCAACTCAGGGCATGATGTCACAGTTTAGTGAGTTGGAGCCCCACGTGGGGTTCTATGTTGGCAGTGTGCAGCCTGCTTGGGATTCTTTCTCCCTCCCTCCCTCCCTGCTCCTCCCCCACTCATGCTGTCTCTGTCTTCTCAAAATAAATAAACTTAAAAAAAATACATATATGGTAAAGATAACAAACTGATGGCTGACAACAGAGAAGGGGGTAACGGGACAGGCAAAACAGATGAAGGAGCAAGAGAAACAGGCTTCCAGTTATGGAATGAATAAATCACAGAATGAAAGGTACACCATAGAGAATATAGTCAGTGGTACTGTGACAACATCGCATGGTGACAGATGGGAGCTACACTTACAGTGAGCATAACATACAGTTGTAGAATTTCTGTCTTGTATACGTTAAACTAATGTAATATTGTGTCAACTACAAAAAAAATACAAACTACAAATATATATGTATACTAGGAAACTTTAGACTAATAATGTTGAGAATTTAAATAAAACATAAGTTCCTAGAAAAACAAAACTTATAAAACCTGACACAAAACAGAAAAATGTGAATAGTTCTATATCTATTAAAGACATTTTAGAATCCATAACTAAAGGCCATCCCACAAAGAAATCTATAGGCCCAGGGCACCTAAGTGGCTCCGTTGGCTAAGCATCCAACTATTAATCTTGGCTCAGGTCATGTTCTTGGCTCAGGTCATGATCTCTCAATTCGTTGAGTTCAAGCCTCGTGTCAGGCTACACATGATCAGTGCAGAGCCTGCCTAGGATTCTCTCTCTTCCCTCCCCTGCTCACTTGCTCTTTCTCGCTCTCTCTCAAAATAAATAAACTTAAAAGAAATCTGTATGGCTTTTACCCACTTCTGAACATTTAAAAAATAAATATCACTAACGTTACACAAACTCTTCCAGAGAAAAGCAAAAACACTTCCCAACTCATTTTATGAAGCTGACATAATCTCAATACCAAAACCTGACAGGATCTTACAAGAAAATGCCAAGCCATTATCTCTTAGGAATATAGATACAAACATTCTATTCTAAGCTAAACATTAGCAAACCAACTTCAGTAATATATTGGGAGAACAATATAATTGATAAAATTGGGTTTATTACAAAAATAAAAGTCCTAGTGTATAAAAAAAATCAGTATAGTTTGCCACATTAAGAGATTAAAGGAAAAAAATTATATAGTCACCAATATAAAAATGTATTTGTTATTCATATTTTTAAAAAATCTCTTAGCAGATTAGAAATAGAAACTCTTCTAAAAAGTCAGATTAAAAGAAAAACCACTTAGACATCAGAATGGTGAAATACGGTCATGAAGAAACAAAGGTGCTCACCATCAACATTTTACTGAAGTTTCCAGCCATTGCAGTAAGGTAAAAAACAAAAACAAAACAAAAAAACAAAACAAAACAAAAAAATCCAGAAAGTACACATACTGGAAAGGAAGAACTAAATTTCTCATTATTCACAGGCAGCATAAATGTGTATATATAACATCTAAAAGAATCTACACACTACTAGAATTAAATGAATTTGGCAAGGTTGTTAGACACAAGGTGATTTATAAAAAACAAAGTGCATTTCTATATATGAGGAAGTTTATTAATTTTTTTAATGTTTTAGTTATTTTTGAGACAGAGATGGAGTGTGAATGGGGTAGGGAAAGAGAGAGAGGAAGACACAGAATCTAAAGCAGGCTTCAGGCTCTGAGCTGTCAGTACAGAGCTCTATGCAGGGCTTGAACTCACAAACCATGAGACCATGATCTGAGCCGAAGTCAGACACCCAACCGACTGAGCCACCCAGGTGCCCCATGAGGAAGTTTATTCTTTAAATAACACTTTACAGTTAAAATGTCAAATATTTAGCAATAAATCTAACAAAAGATGAATAACTCCTATACATATACACACATAAACATTTAAAAACATCACTAAAATTATAAGAACATCTATATAAATGGACAAATATATCACTCATGGAATGGAAGGTTTAATATTATTTTTTTAAGTGTTTATTTATTTTGAGAGAGAGAGGACGGGCGAAGAGCAGAGAGAGATGGAGACAGAGAATCTCAAGTAGGCCCCATGCTGTCAGTGCAGAGCCTGATGCAGGGCTCAATCTCACACCCCTGAGATCATAACTTGAGTTGAAATCCAGAGGGAGATTCTCAACCAACTGAGCCACCCACACTTCCCAGGGAGACTCAATATGATTGACAGTAGTCAACTATCCCCAAATTCACCCAGTTCTAATAGAAATCCCAAGCATGCTTTTAAATAGGCATGTAATTTGATAAGCTAATTCTGAAATTCAAATGGAAAGGAAAAGGACTAAGAACAGCCAAGTCAATCTTGCAGGGCAACACTGGAGGACAGAAGCTATCAGACAGATGTCTTACTATAAAGCTTCTGTGACAACGTGGTATTGGCTCAGAGACAGATAACAGGCCAGGAGGATACAACAGGGAGTCCAGAAACAGACTTCTATGTGGCCTCCCACATTTATGGCAAAGAGACACTGAAGAATAATGGAAAAAGATAACTCTTCGATAAACAGTCCTAAGGCTATTAGATATCCACATGGGAAAAAAATTATCTTGACTTCTTCCTCAGATTATATTTTAAAAAGCTAATAAAACAATAAGCTTCTTGGAAACGAAACAGGAACAACTGACTGAAAGAGACCAAGATTTCTTAACCAGACACAAAACCCTCTTACCTTTATAGCCAGTCTGTGGTCCACTATTTGGGAACCTCTTAATCTATGCAGTCAGATAATTCACTTAATTCTTATTACATAACATTCAAATAACTACTTTTGCTTTTGTGAACAGGAGTATCTTCATTTATGAAATTAAGTCCATAATACTCCTAACTAGAAGCTCACATAATACTTTTTATAGCTAGGACCTTTTAACAACTAGTGGAAACTCAACAAAGAATCAAATACAATTTGAATTTATTGTACAAAGTAGCATTGTTTTTACTCATTTTTAAAAATTCAATTCTACTTCCAATATTAAATTCCACTAATAATACTCAATTATCACAGACAAAAAATAGGAGCCAGGCATGAAGTACCCTGTAAAGGAGACATGAACAAGGCCAACCTAAATCATAGTAAAGGCCCAGGGCTGCTCTCTGTGGCTAGCAAAAGTCATTAGCTGCAACAAAAATCATCTCAAAAAGAGTAATAAGTCTGCTCCTCTACCATTTATTTAAATGGTAAAAATCCAGTCTGCTCATTTAGAATCATAGCTACAATAGCATAAACCTTTCTCGGAGGGAGGAAAAACAGTCTTACGTTATTTTATTCAGAAAAACCTTCTTAGATCACTGAAACAAGGGAGAATAGTAAAATAAAGATAGTTTATTAGTTTCCAGAGGGCACAAATTTAAAAAGGTATCAATGAAAAATTTCATACAGCCCAGTTCTCATTCTCTGCTCGTACCACAGCTCATTAAGACAATGTATATTTATCTTTTACTGTGTGAAGGATACTGTGTAGTCTCAACTACTAAACATTTTACCTTTGCAGCAAGCTGTAGTCCAATTTTGTCAGCTTCAGCCTCCAATGTTCTACTGTATGGTCTATCAAACATATACTAAGAAGAAATAAGAAAGAGAAGTTCCATTAAGGATATTTATTTCACAACAAAAGAAGTAGCAAAGGGCTATTTTTAAAATTAATTTCATGGAGTATCTAGGATATAGGTTTTATGCTCACCATGACTGACACTTAAAGAACACCATGGGAGGGGCACCTGGGTGGCTCAGTCGGTTAAGCATCTGACTTTGGCTCAGATCATGATCTCATGGTTCATGGGTTCGAGCCTCACGTTCGACTCTGTGCTGACAGCTCAGGGCCTGGAGCCTGCTTTGGATTCTCTATCTCCAGCTCTCTCTGTCCCTTCCCTGCTCATGTTCTCTCATTCACTCTCTCTCTCTCTCTCTCTCTCAAAAATAAATAAACATTTAAAAAAAAATTTTTTTAAATGTTTTTTTATTTATTTCTAGGAGAGAGAGAGACAGCGTGAGCAGGGGAGGGTCAGAGAGAGAGGGAGTCACAGACTGAAACAGGCTCCAGGCTCTGAGCTGGCAGTCAGCACAGAGCCCGACGCGGGGCTCGAACCCACGAACCACAAGATCATGACCTAAGCGAAAGTCAAGACGCTTAACCGACTAAGCCACCCAGGCGCCCCTAAAAAATTTTTTTAAAAAGTACCTGACTCTTGATTTCAGCTCAGGTCATGATCTCACAGTTTAAGCCCTGCCTCAGGCTCTGCGCTGACAGTGCAGGGCCTGCTTGAGATTCTCTCTCTGTCCCTTCTCCATACTCACTCTCTCTCTCTCTCTCTTCTCTTAAAAAAGTACACAAACATTATAAAAAAAAAAAAAAAGAACACCATGGTATAAAACATGAAGTACAGTCTTTATTACCTCCATCAGAGATTAATATTTTAAAAACATAAAAAGAATATTTAAAAATTTATGCCTATAGACTTCTAGAGAGTCTACAGTATCATATGGAGTAGAGGCCCCCCTTCCACACAGTTTCAATTTCCATGGCTTGAGTTACCCACTCAACTGCCGTCTGGAAGCAGATGGTCCCCCCACATACTGTCAGAAGGTCTATAGCAGCCTAACACTACGTCACAGTGCCTACGTCGCTCACATCACTTCATCTCACCACACAGGCATTTTATCACCTCACATCATCACAAGAAGATGGGGAATACAGTACAGTAAGATACTCTGAGAAGGCCACACTCACATAACATTTTTTACAGTATATTATTATAACTGTTCTATTTTATTATTGTTGTTCATCTCTTATTTATGTGCTTAACTTATAAACTTTTACCATCACTATGTACAGGAAAAAACACACTACAAATAGGATTTGGTACTATCTGAGGCTTTAGGAATCCACTGGGGTCTTGGAATATATCCCACCCTCCTTCCACCCCATTGGTAATATTGGGGGAGGGGCTACTACTATACAGGTATCCCTCTCTTTTGAAAAGTTTGCCTTATGCTACTTTGCTTTTACAAAAGACCTACATTAGTACCTGTTTTCACTAACCAAAAGAAATCCAAAGAGTACGTTTGTCTTTATGAAGAAGCCTAAAAGCAAAGTGACATAACATGAACTTAAGAAAGGGGAGGATACCCGCACTTCTACTTTCCAGTTACAATCTTTACCTTCTGTGCAGAGGATTCCCTAAGAAAGCTTCCTAATGCAAGCTTTTAATATGACCAAGGAACATTCTGATGTTGCAAGTTTTAAAAGAAAATTGAAGAAATAAGGCTATATAATAACCACTGACCCTACTAGGGAATTTATTTCAGAAAATTAACCAGAGAGCAGAATTTTCTTTCTTTGATAAATTATCTTAATTCTGTCTTTCTAAGTATTGATTAGTTAGGAAAACGAAATTTTCTTCCAACTTCAATAAAAAAATACAAATAGATATCGTAACTTTAACTTTCTTAATTACTTGTATTTATGTGAATGCTCTCCAGTTAAAATTTTAATTTCCAGTAAGTACTAAAATTTGTAGGAGATGGATCAATAAGCAGGACTTTTGAGAACAGAGCTATTAATAGGGAAACAATTTCTCAGAGGCAGCTACAGGTCAGTGATGTCTAGAAATAATATAATCAGTCTAGTATATGACCACTAGCTATGAGTTTCTTCCTTCTGGATCATGTCTTTTTTAGGTTGTTGAACTATATTATATAGTGTCTTCACTCTCAATGAGCAGTCTGCAGGAGTCCATCAAGTCTACTGACAGTATAACTGGTTTAAAATACTGGATTTTGTTTCAAAGGACAGAAGTTTACATTTAAGTCTAAATGCTGACACTTATTAACAGTTAACCCTCAGCTAATTGTTTAACCCCTCTAAGCCCAGTAGCATCATATGTAAAATGGAGTAGCACGGCACCAACCCCCTAAAGCTGCAGATAGGATAAAATGAACAAATAATAATAACTCCTATTTATTGAGTCCTCATTTTGTACGAGGTACCGTGCTAAGTGCTTTAAATCACTGGTTCTCAACTGGATGCGATTTTGTCCCCCAGAGACATATGAGAATGTTTGGAGACATTTTTGATCATCACAACTGTTTGGGGGAAAAATGCTACTGGCATCTAATGGGCAGAGATCAGATGCTTACAGTAGCTGTTTCGAGGCTACTAAACATCCTGCAATGCAGAGGACAATTCCTCACAACAAAGAATTATCCAGTCCAAAACATCAGTAGTACTTAGATTAAGAGATCCTACTTTAGGGACGCCTGGGTGGCTCAGGCAAATAGGCGTCCGACTCTTGATTTCGGCTCAGGTCATGATCTCAAGGTTTGTGGGTTTAAGCCCTGCATTGAGATTCTCATTGAACCTGTGGAACCTGCTTGGGATTCTCTCTCTCACTCCCTGCACCTGCCCCCTCCTCTCAAAATGAATATAAACTTCAAAATAAAAAGATCCTATTTTAAATGTATCATTAAACCAATAACAGTGCTTTGAGTTAGCCAGTATTATGCCAGTTTATAGATGAAGAAACTGAGACCTGTAGTGAAGTAACCTGCTCAGGTTCTATAGAACTTAGGTCTAACAGCCTAAATTCAAACATAGGTCCATCTGCTCACAGCCTGTATTCTTAACCTCTGTACATAATTAATCTATAGTGCTTATCCTAATGCCTAACATATGGTAGGCACTCAATACATATTAGCTATTGTAATTATTACTAATTAATACCTGGTAGCATGCTATGAGGACTGCTATATTATATCTAAATCTTAAAATTACAAAAATAGAGGACTCTCCAATGGTTATGAAAAGGCCCCTGCTTCTTCCTTCATCTCTTCCTTTCTCTGGCAAATGTCAGCAATTCCTATCAGCATCCCCTCCTGCTCTTCAATCACAAGGAATGAGGCTTTCTAGAGAAACATTTCTTCATCACCAAAATCATGGGGGTAAAGAGGGCTCTTGATTTAGGGAAATAGAGTTCAAAGAGAAGTTATCACTTTATTTTTAGTTTATTATTAATTATTATATGAAGTAGCAAGATTCATCAAGTATTTTCAGTTTTTTTTAATTTTTTTATTTTTTTCAGGGAGAGAGCACAAGCGAGGAGGGGCAGAGAGAAGGAGAGACAGAATCCAAGGCAGGCTCCAAGCCATCAGCACAGAACCTGACCTGGGGCTCGAAATCCGAACAGTGAGATCATGACCTGAGCCGAGATCAAGAGCTGATACTCAACGGAGGCACACGGGTGCCCCTTCATCAAGTATTTTAAAGAAAAAGCAGCTACAGTTTATCATTCCTATGTCAAAATCTTCAGATTCCAATACAGAAAAAAGTGATGTACTGATAAATGGGGAAAAAGAACTACATTAACTCCTTTGACTTCCCAACACAAAACAGAAATAAAATTCAAAATATGAGATCCTATAACCTAAGCAATAACCATTATTTTTTCCCTTTAAGAACTTTCATTTCAATATAAATGCATCCAAATAATATCATAACACTGAATAAAAGACTTAGTTATCCAATTTCAAAAGCAATTTGTCTCAAAGAATTTTACACATTAGATTTAAACAGTACCCAGATGGCACAATGATGGGTGCTCCACAAATCATTAAATAAACAAATAACAGATTGTTCCTGAATAACCAAACCTCCCTGGACAAGAGGAAATATGTGAAGAAAGATGTAAAATAAAATAATTAATCATAGTTAACAAAGCAATTATCAAGACTGCACAACCTGCTTTCAGTACGGAAGTGTTTTGAACAAAGTGAGGGCCCCGGTAAATTTTATGATATGATCATCATTATACCTAAGTATTAAAAATGAAAGTGAACCTAGTAAGACTGTCCTTTCAGTACTGTCCAGGTCATCTTAATTTCTCTGGGAGTGAGAAGATAAGGATGGTAAAGAGGCTTCAGCCAACTCTGTGCCCATAAAAACGGACAGGTTTTAAGAGTTCTCCATCAACATGCAAATGTTTGGGAAAAGGGAGAGTCATCCAGTAAGTATACCACAATCACTATGAGAAACAAATGTTAAAAGTTTGAAGGTAAAGTGACAAAAGGAAAGAAAGGGCCTGTACCTGGGTTTTCTCTCTTTAAAACCAGTAACTATATAACCCCTGCCCCTAAATACTATGTTAGCTGAAAGCTGCTAAGCCCTTGAAACCCATCTATCTCCATCTTTCAAAAGATGTCGTATTTTCCAACTTGAATGTTCATTTTTCGGGAATATCCCCTAAAAATGAGAAAATGTAAGACTAAAACTCAGTCGCTATATTTCATGATCTGTGAGAACGCCTCTTGTATCTGTTACTTTATTGTAATCTTTAAAATATCCTCACCACATACCTCACCACACCAACTTATTATCTCACACTTACCTCCTGCAGTTTAGACTGTATCCACTGGCCCAAAAGTGCCAAACTATCTCGAGGACAAACAGCCCAAATCATTGTGAGAAAAATCATACCTAGGAAATCCAGTAAGTGAACCAAGCTAGCTTTTTCTGCCTGAGAATAAACAAAACAATGAAAATTACATTTAATAAATTAAGACAGTGTATCCTTACATTTTCTAGTTCATGATGTGTAATCACATTAAATGATTACATGTTTAACTCACCTTCACCAACTAAGATCACATGTTCTTTTTCTTCTGTGTGCTTTTTCTTTCCATTCCTTGCTTACATGTATAAACATTCATTCAACTAATATGTACTGAGCCACTTACCATCACTCAGATACAATGCCAGGTTCATAGACATGAATATGAGTTCATTAACTTATAGTTCTTATATTAACAAGCATAATAATCTTGTGAAATAGGTACAATTAGCCCTATTTTATAAAGAAACTAGGATGGGAGAAACTCAGAGAGTTGCCAAAATTCATACAGCTATTAGTAAAACTTGAAACCCAGGAAGTTTTAGTTTCTAATGGAATCATTAATTTCTTTTTAATTTTTAAATGTTTATTTATTTTTGAGACAGAGAGAGACAAAGCATGACTGGGGGAAGGGCAGAGAGAGAGAGAGAGAGAGAGAGAGAGAGAGAGAGACAGAATCTGAAGCAGGTTCCAGGCTCTGAGCTGTCAGCACAGAGCCTGATGGGGGATGTGAACTCACAAACCGTGAGATGACCTGAGCTCAAGTCAGATGCTTAACTGACTGAGCCACCCATGCAACCCTCATTAAATTTTTTTTAAAGGAAATGAATGTGCTCATTATGCTTATACCTTGTACCTTTGGATAGACTAAATACTGCTAACAAGAAAAATTCAGGAAAAGATTAGAAATTTATTTTTAATAAAAGACTTCTGGACTTCATGACCTAATATACGAAATATGATTCATTCATGCAAGTTTGCAATGTTATCACTCTGGTATTTCTCATTAGGAAATCGAGTTCTATGAAGTTTTATGTTTATAGCACTAACCAATTTTACTTAAAATACTTGTTTTAAGTAGTAATCTCTAAATACAAGTTTAATGCACTGGATTGTTCACTGTTCCCCATTAAAGGTGATTAATAAATGCTGATAATACAGAAATCATTACTTGAACGTGTAAAATATAGCTGACAACTAAAAATAATCACACAGAACACTTCTCTTAACAATATAACCTTCCCTCACAAAGCATTCTTTGCTTCATTATATGAACTGTGTGTCATGAAAAGCAATTATGGCATTATTTTAGCACAAAGGAATAAAACTACAAATGATGAAGTCATTATAGAAGAGAAAATCCTTGTTATTAATTATTAAAGAATAAAATTGCCACTACAGTCTTAGAAAAATTTAAAAAAATTTTAATATGTATTTGTGGAATGAAGAAAACATGAATACTGCTAAAAAAGACAGTGCAGATGATGTCTAAAAGGCCTCTACAAAAAATTTATTAACTATTTTCAATTTTTAAGACTACTATTTTCTTTTTATGTCTTATCTAATTAGTGTTCTGCACTGACAGAGATGACAACAATGTACTGAATGAGGCACTGAAGTAGAGGCCAGAAAAATAAACGTGTACAGAATATGAATATCTTTTAAGTGCTAAAAATGGCCAAAATTGATTTTGCAGTTATGAAGCCCTTTCTTGAAAGACAATCTTTTTCGACTGCTTAGATTTATTCTTCTATATACCTATTTAAGGAAAATGTTTTTTATACTTTTCTGTAATTCAGAAGAAATAAAGGAGATAATTACTGTTTGTGCTTCAGAGAAGCACAACTGTGGCCCACCTCAACTTATCAGTACTTTAAGGAATAGAGAGAATTTGAGATGACTTTTATGGAGATTAAGAAAATTAGCATTTCCGCTGAGAGGGGCAAGATGGCGGAGAAGTAAGGAGCTCCGTACTTGCACTCGCACCCATGCATCACACGGAAAAGATCTGAAGCCATTGGAAACCTTACAAAACCTGAGAGATTGGGAGAAAAAGGACACATAATCCACTGAGAAAGCCTTCTAACGGCTACCTCAAGAAACAAGCCAGAGTACACAAGGTGGAGAGTCCCAAATATCACTATGAATAGGAAAATAAAATAACCAAGGTCCCAACAAGAGAGACCAAGAGATACCATTCAAAAAACACTCTCTGAAAGGATAGGCCCTGGACAGTCAAAGAGTCTTCTTGGATATAGCAGTGCTCATAGATACAGAGAGCATAACAGGTCTTTAAAACTAACAAGAGCCGGGAAGCTAACTAAAATGACGAAACGAAAGAGCTCTCCTCCAAAGAAACTCCAAGAAGAAATGACAGCTAATGAACTGCTCAAAACAGATATCAGCAGCATAAATGAACAAGATTTTAGAATAATAATGGTAAAATTAATAGCTGGGCTTGAAAAAAACATAGGGGACATCAAAGAAACTATGGCTACAGACAGAATGGAAAATAAAAATAGGCATG